CCAAAAACTATCTTGCCAAGAATTCATCCTAACCATCCCATTGATCCACAGGCTAAAATCAAAAGTAGTACAAACCGGGTCAGCCCAATGGGCTAGGAGAACCACAAAGCCCACAACAAGTCATATAACAAACGATTCAAGCTTGTCCAGTACATTCAAATGGTTGAATGGAAAACAACTCAAATCGGTATTATTTGTGGGATTCAGGAATGAGTATAAGATGCCAATCAAGTAAATCCATGAATTGGCTTTTGCACTGGAGCTTTCTCGACTACCCTTTTTGTGGATTCTAAGGAAGCCATAAGGTATAGAAAGTTCAGACTTGCTACCTCCTGGTTTTGCCAACCGTACTTTAAGCCAGGGTATGTTACTTTCGGTTCGGTACCCCAATCTGAAATACTCACTCATCATGCAATTGGGGTGTCTCTTCCATTCTGGTTGGGGTACGGTCCTTGAAGCTTTATGCTTTGGACATCTACCGATTCTTCTGCCAATGGTAGCTGACCAAGAACTCAATGCTATGCTGCTAATGGAAAAAGAAATCGGCTATGTGGTCCCGAGGAATGAAGATGGTTCTTTCAACCAGGACGTGGTTGTGAAATCTGTCAGAAAAGTTATGTTAGAACTAGAGGGAGAGCCATTAAAGTTGAAGGCCTCACTTATGGGAAATGTTTTCAACAATCAGGATCTCCACGACAGTTACTTAAACGTCTTTATCCAGCATTTGAAAAAATATAAAAGTTTCTCAAGAGCACAAGCAAGTTGTAAAAATGAAATGTGAAGATATTTATTAACCATCATTCAGGAAGAAATAAGGATTTTTTCTCGCTCTCTCTCTCTCACGTGCACATTTTCCACCTTTTTGTTGAAAATGTTTTCCCACCCTTTAGGTGGGTTTTCATTTTCCAGCTTTTTTTTTTAATTGTAATAGGGAAAAATTCTAGATCAAATGGTAAAAAAAAAACTTTTATTAACAATTTACATGCAAAACAAAACCAAAAGAATGATATTCGGTATGATAATTTTTTTTTTGGCAAGTTAAACAAATTCTAGACCCAATGGTAAAAGAAATTATTAATGGACAATTTCTATGAAAAACAGCCAAACGGATACCAAACTTTCAACAATTTCCACCTGAAAAATTATACAAAGAGGAAGCTCATGTTTTAGCATCAATGTCAAAACATGGGAAAAAAAAGGAATCAATGGAACAACTCATTTTTTCATTTTTATCACTATTCTTTGGAGCTTTTAATTCAAATTGATGACTAAGGTAAATACTCAATATCAAAAGGTTGAACTAATGTTGAACTGTGATAAAAATAAAATAAAAAAACTATATAAAGAAAATTTTAATTTGAGAGTAAATTGGCCAATCTTGTGAGTCACCCTTTTTTAGGGACAATCAGCAATTCAGTATTTCTTTCAAATATTTTTCATGAAAAGCTAAAAAACATATTTGAGAAATAAATGTGTATGTATTTTAACGATTAATTAGGAAATCAGTCTGTACATTTCCTTGAAAAAAGGTAAATGATCAAATATCAAAAGGTCGAACTAAGGTCGAACTAAGGTTGAAATTATACAAATCAAACACAATTAATTACAATAATTTCTAGGCAATTCAATTCCCTATAATTCATTTTCTTTTCACCCATTTTCCTACTTTGCAATCAAACGGACCCTAAGTATAACTAAACTGAAAACATAGACATTTCTCAACTATCGAAAACAAAATGCACAATTATACAAACAATTTGAAAAGCACTCGTTACATAAGATTTACAGAAGCATAACAATCAAGCGAATAATCTCACAAATAAATCAAACAAAATACACATACATACACACACTAAAATGATCATCTTCGACACATTCTTATTATTCAATCCTTGTATTCCACATAAAACATCAATCAGTTTTGAGCACAAAGTTAAAAGCAGCATAGATACCGAATCGAATTCAATACAACTTTCATTCTATTAGGCATTAGCAAAATAACAGTTTTGAAGCTATAACATTACCAACAAACACATACATAGAGAACCCCATCAATTCTTCATTTCCCTTCACTTTCTTCCCATTAACCATAAAAAAAAAAGCAAATATATTTGGTAAATCAAATACCATGGACTACTCGCGAAAAGGGGAACAAGAAACTTCAAAGTTATCGCAGTACCCAACAGTGGAACCCCCAATGTAAGCAAAATCAAACAACCTTGGTGATAGTAGAAGACGTAGTGGCATCATCAGACAGCTCAGGATTGGTAGGTGGATCTGGATTTAAAGGGGTGTAAATTGTTCGATCAGCAGCATCATCAGGGTCGTAATCTGGGTTGAGGTCTCGATCAATGGCATCCCGACCCTTTTCTAGACAGGGCTTGCAGGCTATTTCTATGGTTATCCAACCCAGCACTACCCCTGCAATTGCTATCAGTGCCGTCGTCAACGCCCCCATCTCTCTCCCTCTCTCTTCCTCACTCTCGATCTTGAATGTCAACGACTCGACAGTTTATGGCTTCCGAAATCGCTTTTTGGCCCTCACGATTTTAACTGGTTCAACTAAATGGGCTTCCAATAGCCCAATTACACATGGAGCAATATATTTTTGTCAAATTTACAAAAGTAGACCTCGAAAATAAAGTTAGGGCCTGGTTAATTCACTCAAAATTTCCATAGAAAATGGAAAGGAAAGTCTACATAAATCCTGCTTTTACTTATACACATTTCAAAATTAAGGTTAGATGTTTTAAATTTCAAAAATCAGGTTTTTATTTAATTTATTTATGAATTATTTAATTAATTATATGTTTTATTAATAAATATATAACGGTCACAGATCTATACAATTTGGTCACAATTCAAAAATTTTAAGGTCACAATTCGAAAATTTGATAGGTCACAATTCAGTCATCGGTCACAAATAAAAAATTTAAAAGTCATAATTGTTTCATCGGTCACAAATCATAAAATTTTTAAGTCACACACCTTATTTTATGGTCACAAAACATCGAATTATAGATCACAAACAACTTTTATTGGTCACAATTGATAATTTTTTGTGAGTCACATAGTCTTTCTTAGTCACAATTTCTTATTATTGGTCACACACCATAATTTATTGGTCACAATTTGTGACCACCCCCAACACATCACCACCTTCGTCAACACCAACACCCCCACTTCCCAACAACAAAATCCCCATTCCAATGCCGCCATTTTCACCACCGCACCTTCACCGCCTGCACCCCCAGAAACATCCACACCTCCCCACACCGAACCCCAGTAAAAAAAAAAAAGCAACACAGCAGCACCGAACGCACACGCACACCCCACCTCCACAAACGCCCAATCGCAACCGCCACAGCACTCACAGACACGATTTTTTATTTCGATAAATTATAAATTGATTATTGCATAGCATGTAAGAGATTCCTCATCACGATGTAATCGATCATGTAATAGATGTAACGTGTCTAAATGGAACATTTTCTTAGGGGAGAGTAGGTTTTTGTTTTCCTCAAAATAAGGAAAATATTTTCTTTTCTACAATGTATTTTCCATACCAATCAAACACACTCTAAATGTTAGAGTAAGTAGTTAACCATCGGTATTAATTTCTCGCGAAATTATAATAATATTGGTTTTTTGTATTTGGGTGATTTACCCATGACAATGTATTGTTACTTGCAAGTCTCTTTCATGGCTCTAAATCTTTCTAGCAAATGTGTGGAAACTGCCTTTTATCATTCACTGAATGGATTGAAATTTTTCAGAAAAAGCAAGAAACTTGAGAGATTTGGTTTCACTTATCTACCTAAACATTCCCATCTTCAACTTGATTGCTTATCAAAAAACTTGTTGAAGAAATCAATACTACAAAAAGGTTTGATACATTAAACCATCCTCCTGGGATAGGGCCACCATTGTTAAAATCCGAATGCATTTAAACATAAGAGTCCTTGAAAAGAAACATGTCTTTGAGTAAACTCAAAATATTTCATGCATGCACCCTTGATTCTTTTTCACCTCTTTTTGTTGCCCCCTTTACCCAAATCCACGCCTTTATCAAAAGCCCCTTCTTTTTCTTTATGATCATATCTACCTACGAAATCCTTTATTATTTCCTTTAGACAAAACAGCAAAAGGAAATAGTTTACATTGACCAGCTAACAAAGATACAACTAGGCCCCCCACTAGATTTACGTACCATTCATCAGGAAAATGAAAGAATTTGTAAAGTCTTTCTTCATGTTATGTGTCTGATCACTTTAGCTAATGAAAACTGATACACATATATGATATATTTTACTCGTGGATAACACAAGGCTTCACCAAAGTTAAATTAGCACTATGTACATTTCTACAAGAGACAGTCCCATACAACAACCAAGAAAAAGTTCTGAGACATCGGCCTATCCCATTCATAAGGTCTAATGGAAATATGATTCGTTAATGTTACGCCTTGTCACCAAGGCTTTAAATCAATGTGCCACGTAGCAATCCATGAGGACAGAAAGTCAACAAAGACCCAAGTGGTCAAGATACAAAGAAATTATGTAGATACAGAGGTACTGCCCAAAGAAACGAAGAAAGGAACTGTAGCTCCTACTCGGAAGACCTGCTCTGAAATTCTCAGTTCATCCGAAGCTCATTAACCGATGTTGTCTCTTGCAAAATATTTGAATATCTTTTAGAAGTGATTGATATAACATTTGTAATAGAAGATATTAGGGTATGAACTTATTGTATAGGGCGACCGACCACTTATCAAGGTATTAATTGTATGAATGACCATGATGTGATGCCTCAACTAAGGAGATGAGGTCATGTGATTCTGATCCAACGGACAACACGTCGGTCAATATAGTATAAATAGATCCCCTTTTGTAACTTAGAAGGGGTTGGAAAAATTAGAGTCAGAATTATCATCTTCTCATAACTTGAACTTTCAAATATGGAATCAAGAAGAAATATTGACATCCTCTTACAAACGTTTGTATCATTGATAACGTAATCATCTTTTGTTTCACCCGTCGGAACTCGAACATCTTTGTCTCTCGCCGTAAAGCACTTCCCGGGTCCAAATCTGCCTCCCTTCTCACCATTTCTCCGGTAGAAATGCGCCGGAATTGGTTTAACGTGACGAGAGTGGGCCCGACATATGTTGACTCATTTTATTTGGCGGGTCAACAGTTAACATGCAAATTTCGGAAGGCTATGACCTTGACAACATTGACACAATGCAAGGATAAGACATGGTAGTGTGTTATCGACAACTGCATCCTTTCAATGGGCAGGTAGGCCAATATTATTGGCCCAATTGAAGGCTCCCAAAACTACGAGGGTTCTCGATTTTGACAAATTCTGAGCAAATCTAGAGGATATACTACTATTTCATTATCCAATGACTTTCAAAAGTACTTTTGTTATTTTCTCAAAGGGCCTTTTCTGACGCAAGCCTTTCTTCTTTATCCCTTTACTAGTCTCTTCACATGCAAGGCTACCACACATTGTGTTGGATCCAAGTGGAAAAGTTAAGTACATACTCGTTAGTCTATATGCACCAGTACCACTTTCAAACTGGACAATTAGTTGGTGGATTACTGATTGCAATAGTCAGGAATTTTCTACAGTATATATAATTAAGAAAGTGAGCATTATCATCTAATCATGAACATAACATAAAATGTCTGTATTGTGAGAATATGCTCTTTGGAACAATCAATTCCATAAATCATCTTAACCCAACAAAGGGCCAATGATATAATGGACCTCAACAGCACTTGGAGACAAACTTCTTTGATTAAAAATAAGGTAATTCGATTAAACGGCCTTTCTGTAAAGTTGATATGTTGACTAGGACGTCCTGGAAATGTCAAAATTGATTATTCTTATAATTTTCAAATAATTATCACAATGCTGTGCCACTTGTTCTTAGCAGTTAAGCAAAAGATCAATTTATTTATTTCTAATTAAAATATGGGACAGTCAAGAAAAGTCTGCATGTTATACACGTACTTTCTTGATTAGAAATATTGGTCTGCGGTGGCTAAATTGGGCTGCATGCTATTTTGAAATTTCAATGGGTGGAAATGAGGGTCGAATTGACATCTGTATGAATTCCATGGGTTCCAAGACATCAAACCATAGTTTCCCATTTGTAAAAATATTTGGATAAAATTTGTTGGGATTATCATGTATTGCAATATTCGATGATAGACAAATGCAATACTCGAAAGTATAATGAACAGAATTTTAGTCTTTTTGTCGAGTCTATTAATGTTCCTTGCCAAACATGGCATTATAAGTCCACAGAACATTAGACATACACTATCATGTAAAAAAAAACCATGTCATACATATGTTGATCGCTAGGAATTGGTAGGTCGAATCTTCCGTTAAATACATGGCTTTTATAATTTCAAAAAATTGCTTCACAGCCAATCTTTTGAGTTCAGAAAACCTCAAAGCAAGACAAACCATTGCTTGTTAGTAAATCAAAGTGAAATTTTTTCTACTAAAAACTTTGACACAATAAGGAATTTGGGAATATCAAAACCCTCAAGAAAAGAAATTTTTTAAAATCCCATTTTGTAGAATTATTCATAAAATATATCATTTGTGCAAATGTAATATTGCATTCCCACAAGAAAAGTTACAATGATAAATATATGGGCCCAAGAAAATAACTTTTGTCTGCATACATAATACCATGTATTTTTTGCATCAAGATAAGAACATTAAAGTCTCTATCTTTCCAACGTATCCCATTCCTTATCTACTTACCAAACACTTCTACTTTTCAATATGATTACATTTGTGCAAAAAATTACGTAGGTTATCTTCGAACTCACTACCAAAATGCCAAAAAAGGGGTCAAATTTTATAATTTTTAATTTTTGTGGAGAGAAATTAAATGGTTATAATTTATAAGAAACACCTTCTTTTTTCTTCGTTCTTAAAAGGGTTCTTGTAACTTTATTATTTAAGGAAGAAATTAATTCAATTTGTATTGTAATATTTTCCATTAGAACCCCACCATATATTTTTTAATTTTTTTCTTCTTCTTTATATGACGCTGGATCTAATCAGGGTCATTAGTTTAAGTTTGATGAATGCAAAGCAAGACGCAAGATGATTAGTTATAATGATTATGATAATGATGAAATTTCTTGTCATCTACTTCGTGGTATAATAATAATGAGGCTTTTATGATGCTGCATATTTTCTTGAATAATGAGGGTGTGGACACCATTATGTACAATGAATTATGTATGTGTCATCTGTACAAAAGATTATGTACAATTTATCAACTTCTCTCCACAATTTCTCAATTTGTGCGTGTCATATGTACAAAAGATTATGATAATTTTTTTTCTTTATCGGTCCAATTTGGTATAATTTTCCTCAGATTCTCTCTACAAGATTATATTGCATGCTTTATTAGAAAAACTGCCATGAAATTTTTTATTTTCTATTTCCAGGAGCACTTTAGTGTCGGTACTTTATGCCATGCTATTGTGTGTCTAAAGCAAATTAATGTATATCATCATGCTATGCTAACCACTGGATGAAGACATTGTCAAAAGGTCGTACAATTATATAATTATATTTATCAACTTTTTCGACAAACAATTGAACTTTGTTGCAAATACTTAATGCAAAATTCTTACGACCAATTTAGTGGAAATCTGAAGTTGTAATAGAAGCCTTTTTTACTTTTTATCCATCGCCGTTTTCTTGCGGTTGAAATTTCTGCTGAAATAAAAAATATAACTCAAAAAAAAAAAAGTATTTTTATGAAAATATTATAAAAGAAAATAATGAACGCCATGAGATTGTGTTCAATTTCGATCAAAACGGAATTTAATTTTAATAATATTCTTTGTAATATTACTTTTATGAGAAGAAAATGTCGGGAGAGTCGAGAAAGAATAGAACGGTTAGCTTCCTTGAAAAGACAATTGAGGCCATAACCGATGACAAGACGAAGATAAGTAGACAAAGTCATCCAAAACCAGTATATAAGGTTTAGTCCCAAAGCTATTATTAACAAGGCAAGCCAACACAATACCTCAAAAAACCAGAAAAAATAAACAAGCAAGCAAAGAAAGGAATTCAAAGAAGATACCTAATATATATCTCTCTTTGCCATCCTTTCATTTCCCCTTCTTCTCTTTGTTAGCAAAGAGAAAGATTCTCTCTCTTTCTCTTTCATCCTCCTTCTCCTTGAAGAAAACTCTCTCTGTTTCTAATGGAAGCATTTCTACACAAGATAGCAATATTGCATACATTTCTTGGGTTCTTTCTACTTTTATCAGGTATGCATATTGCCACTGGGTTAATTACTGACGGAATTTTTTAGGTACGTACATATGTATGTGTGTTTATTGAATGTTGATTTTGGATTGAACAGGTTTTGGTTCTGTAAGAAAAATAGAATCCCTCGGCATTAATTATGGTCAAGTGGGCAACAATTTACCACCCCCTGGTGAAGTTCTCGAGCTCCTGCACTCCCTTAGGATAACAAAAGCCCGAATTTACGACACGAATCCTCATGTTTTGTCAGCATTTGCCAACTCCAACGTAGAACTCATGGTGACAGTTGAAAACCAAGTCCTAACAACCTTAATGGATCAACAACAAGCACTTCAATGGGTTGGAACCCATATTAGGCCTTATTTTCCGGCAACGAGGATCACCGGAATTGCTGTGGGAAATGAACTTTTCACCGGCGGTGACATGACACTAATAACTAACGTTGTACCAGCCATGATGAGCATTCGCGCAGCTTTAGTGAAATTGGGGTTAGATCAATATATTCAGGTTACAACACCTCATTCTTTAGCAGTTCTTGCGGCATCATATCCACCTTCGGCTGGAACTTTCCAATCCGGACTCACTGGCGTAATGACGCAAATTTTAAAGTTTTTGGCAGATACAAAGGCTCCATTTTTGATCAATGCCTATCCTTATTTTGCATACAAAGATGATCCCAATAGGATTCCTATAGATTATGTATTGTTCAACCGTAATCCCGGAATGGTCGATCCTTACACGAAACTACATTATGACAACATGCTGTATGCTCAAGTGGATGCAGTGATATTTGCCATGGCTAGACTAGGGTTTCAAGGGATTGAAGTCAGGGTTTCAGAAACAGGGTGGCCATCAAAGGGTGATCCAGATGAAATCGGGTCGACGGTCCAAAATGCCGGTATATATAATCGGAATTTGATGAGAAGGCAGTTAAAAAATGAGGGGACACCGTTAAGGCCTACCGCGAGACTTGAAGTTTATGTTTTTGCATTGTTTAATGAAGACATGAAGCCCGGCCCCACATCGGAGAGAAATTACGGACTGTTCCAGCCCGACGGAACGATGGTATACAATGTCGGGATTTCTGCCTTATCGAGTACCCCATCAACTTCAACTTCATCTGCGACTATTTCTCTCACTTCAAATGCCGCCCAGGTAGATGTAAAGCCATATATTGTTTTTCTTTTCTTTTCGATTTATTTAGAGATTTTTAATTAGTAATCAACGAAGAAATGAATGTAAACAAAACAAAAAAAATGTAAATAACTGTTTTATGCATTACAAATCGAAGTAATTGTACTATCTAACATGAACATGTTGAATTCATTTTTTCATCAAATGTCTTACGCATGAAATCTTATAATGGGATATAGCGAATTAGTATAATTGAATTGCATGGAAATTTTTAATTATTTATATTTTACATGAACATAGTTGGCATAAAAGCATGTGTCTAATCAAATTTATGATGTTGGTTTCACTTATCCATATTTAAGTGAGAAGTCATTCATCTTACGTTAATTTAGTCGACTTTTATCATTTTCTTCCAAAATGATATAATATTCACAGACACTGTTAATTAATTAATTTACTTTTTCTGTCTCTCTTTTTCTTTGGTTGTGAAACAGGAGGGAATGGGATATAAAAGCTTGGCGTACTCAATATTTCTATATTTGCTGGTCTTCATAGTTTTTTATGAGAAGACAAGAAACTGTTAATCCATAGACAACACCAGTAAATCTCACTTTTGGGGTCTAATTTTTGCACATTCTGCATAAAATTAAGTCACCCCATGTCGAAGAAGATCCAATTGTTGAACCAACGTTATATTTCTTACACATAGTATGTATTTCTTCAATATTGCCTCATCTACCATCGATTTGGAACCAATTCTCAAATCAATGGTTGGCGATGCACCACTGTATTAAATTATACGATATTTCAATAGAGTATTAGCTTTTAATTATCTAGCTAGAGATGTAACATATTCAATATTCTCTCATTGTATAAATTATAATTCACGTACTCCACTCATCGCAAATGAATTTAAATATCTCGTCGCTTTGAATCTTTTTACGTAAAAAAGGAAGCAAATCATTCGACAAAACCCGCAGTTGATGCCCCGTTTTCTTGTAGTGTTTGCTTTTAACTTTTTAGACTTAAGAAATATATATGTGCAAATTATACTAAGAAAAAAAGAGAGACGATCTTTATACTTTTGGACGTGGATTGCATAACTGCCGCTCTGTATAAAAACCAATTATCATTAGATGCTTTCCTCTCACAGCTGCACATATATTCCTAATTTTTTAAATATTAATTATTTATGGTATAAAGTTTACGAAAAACAAATTAATGAAAATGCAAAAGGGAGAATTTTGAGTAGTCGTTGGGCGGAACAACTTTATTCCCATCAAAGAACTGTCAGCATTCAGTGCCATCTTTTGTGTGTATCAAAAGTACGATTTTCATCTTCAATTTCTTCCCGTAACTTACAATATCCCTAAATATACTAAAACATTTTTTCCCGCCGCCTCTATAAAAGAACTTAGGATGTGTTTGATATAGTTCATTTTCCATGGAAAATAGAAAAAGTTTTCCATTTTCCATGTTTTTTGGTGTTTGATAGCATGTTTTTTCTTGGCAATTGGAATTGTCACTCTCTCTCATATGGTGACGATTTCTAGCTTTTCCTTGAATTCTTTTTCCCACAATTTAGAGGGAAAATGGTTTCCATGTTTTCATTTTTGGCAATGGATACAAATTTCATAACAAAGTGTAAAAAAAAAAAAATCACTTTCATTGACAATTTTGATGCAAATGAAGGCAAAACGAAAACTAAACTTTGATAAAAAAATGATTTTGTAGGAAACTTTTTTTTTTTATTTTTACTTTTTGACAATAGAAACAAATTTTATAATCAAGTGTGGAAAAAATTATCACTTTAATGGACAATTTTGATGCAAACGAAGGTCAAACGAACACAAAATTTAAAAAAATTTCGGGTAGAAAATTTTACAAATCAAACACACTTAATTAACAATTCCCTGTAAAATAATTTCTAGACAATTACTTTCCCTAGAATTCATATCTTCCCACCAATTTTCCACCATTGCAATCAAACGGTTCGTTTGATAGGCAAAAGTGGAAAGAAATTCAAATTTCATGATGATATACAGTGGTGCACATGATGCCCACTAGCACCAACTTTATACCTTTTAATTTGTACACTTAGACAAATACACGTATAATAATGTAAAATGGGTTTTCTTTTGGCTTAGAGAGAAAACAAGAACTTCCTTATTTGTGAAATCTTTGCTGACACAAAAACATGTTAAGCTAACATGATAAAAATGGAGACCCCATCTCCACGTCTACCAGCATGTGGATTTGTCACATAAAAGACATGCATGTTCATGTTACCAAATTAAGCCGCTTTTTATCCATGTAACTTGGCACAAAATTTTGTAGTAAAACTAACTGGTTTGGCTGCAAACTGGTCCATCTCAGGGCTGAACTGGTTAGTTCATAACTTGATTTATCCATTTCTAATTTTTCGATTAAACAGAACTATCTGATCCCATTTAATATCTTGATTGAATCGACTGGTTGAGTCCAATTTTATTAAAATTGTAGGTAAAAATTATTTCTTCGCGGGAGAGAGAGAATTAGTTGCCGGATAATTTAGGGACCCAACTTTTCCGGTAAGGCAATTTTAATCAATGATGGATCAAGAATCAAGGGACAATGTTTAGTGATAATAATTAGGGACCCTTTTATCTTTAAGGCCCCGTTTGATTGGCCTTTTTTTCCTTGGAAGTTGGATATAAAATTCTATTTCATTGCTTTTGACATGTTTGATAGGTAGTATTTTCTAAATAAAACCAATTCCCACCCCATGACCCACGAGCCACAATTCCATGTTTTTAGGGAATTCATTTTCCCACCTTTTTGGTGGGAAAATGGAATTCCACGTTCTGCTTTTTTTTTGTAATGAAAACAAATTTCATAATCAAGTGTAAAAAAAAATTCACTTTCATGGACAATTTTGATGCAAATGAACACAAAATTCGAAAATTATATCAATCAAACACTTTTAATTAACACTTCCATATAAAACAATTTCTAGGCAATTACTTTCCCTAAAATTCATTTTCTTTCCACCCTTACAATCAAACGGACCCTAAGTGATGCTAGGTGTACACAAAAAAGCAATTCTTCGGTCGTCCTTAATCCAAAAAAGGCAAAAAAAAAGAGGCGCACCATACATGAGGTACCGCCAACACAGCACCTACAAGGTGCTTGTTCACCAATTCCCCAATACAAGGGGAATTGTTCTTTTATCTTTTTAGTGCCTTTGATCAGCTTAATTTCAGGGAGTTTCGTAAATAAAGCCACATACTTTTATCCTATGGAAGTTCAGTACGGTCATCTTGGTATGTAGACGTCACTAATTGGACCCAAATTCATTGCTTTCAGAGGAATAACAAATTATAATTAATTTATAATTATTAATTTCGAATTTTTGAACCAAAATTCCCAGCTTTAATTTAGTCTGAGGAATTACAAGGACCCAAATTCATAGCTTTAATTTCGTTTATGCACTTTTTAAGTTTTTTTTCCCCTTTTTTATTGAGGAGTTGGAAGTCTTATAAAAATTTTAATGATGGAGAAAACAAAATCATGCAAGTCCACAACACTTGCAAGAAATTGTTTCTTGATTTCAGACAGCATTGGCGACCATTGGCATTGTCCTAGGACTATGTCGAACCAGGCAAGAGGCGAGGATACATGGACCGGAGTGCCTCGGACTGCTTTTAATTCTTGTTTCCTCATTTTATTTATGATTTTGAAATTTATTTTGTTGGAAACTTGAAAAATACATATGAAGATCTTAGCAATTTTCAAGGTATGCATTGTCTTATTTATTTATTGATCTACATTAATTAAAATAATATTATAAATATGAAGAAGTCTTACGCCTTTTAGAACGTTGTTTTCTACAAGTTACATATTTTAGTATCGAAGGACGATAACTCCAACATGAGCCCATATATTTGTAGCAGACAAATACTCCAAGTTCTATAAAATCTTCATTCTTTAATTGTTCAAAATACATTTTAAGAAACAAAGGCAGATTGGTGAAATTCTGACATGATCACACTTATTTAAAGGCTCTGGGATGGCCAGACACGTTTGCAATATTCTCCGAGTGCCCACAGTGGAAAAATGTTCCTGTATAGTGCGAAATGCAGAATACAGTTCTTCATGTAAATTCCAGTTACCTCCTGTGATTATAAGTTCAGTTCAGTTCATTTTTGGTTACAAGACTGGTTTTGAACTGAGTAATTTAGAATTTCAAAGCCATTTAAAAGCTATGGCAGCTACCTGTTGAGGAAAATCTCCGTTACGCATCTGTGCATTAATCAACAACTTTGCTGCCTTGTGTAAAGGTGTTGGATCCCTCTCCACCTAGTTTTTAAGAAACGGGAAAAAGGTCAGCATGGTGCAAAAACATCAAACCACTATTCTCTGCATGCAAATGCTTTTTTAATCTTATAAAGAACTTCTCATTACACAAGATTCTTGTACCACTTGTCCCTCTCATCCTATACATAATCGAGTTTAGATACCTAAAACAATCACTTTTTCATTATTTTCCTTATTTTTATTAGTACTGAAATTACAAGGCAGAAATATTAGAAGACATGAAAGCTCAAAATGATACCAACCTGTCCACCGTACATGAGACCTAGCATTGCCCATGATGTTTGTACCAAGTTTGTTCTGTTTCCTTCCAGTGGTGTGTATTTCTATCACACAATTATCAAATAGGATTTCATTTGGCAGAGTAAAATTTTTTTAAAAAAATAGTATTTTATGTGCAAATCTTCCAACTAATTAAATACCTTGGTTGGGCAGGACTCGCAGCTTTCTCCCCATCCACCTTCTTCATTTTGTGTTGACAAGAAAAAATTGACACCTTTTCGAACTGCATCGCTGTTGCCATATGTCTTCCCTGCAGCAGCTAACCCTCCTAGCCCAAAGAATGTACCATAGAGGAAGCAAATTCCCCAATAACCATACCTGTCATACATATCTCAGATTAGATTGAAATCCTGAATATGCACTTCTACTTTCCCCTACAACTCAAAGCCTGAATTTAAGTTACCATGAACCATCAGGCCATTGTCTTTCTTCAAGGAATCGCACAGCTTTTGCCACGGAAATTTCTATTTCTTCCTCACGGTGGCTGGGATGCATAAGTTTGAAGGATAATAGAGCTTGGATTATAGAAGTTGTGCACTCAACATGCCTCAACAACCAAAATGATCATAAATGTTATCGACTTACCTTTTTATCAGTAACCAAAAAAAAAAAAAAAGGGAGTTAAATTTCTTACTCTTGCTCCAAGACTATGTCAGCAAAAAGTTCTGAAGGATTCAACACCTGAAAATGATGTCCTTTTAAAAAGCTACAAGTAAATTTAGTACCACTTGCTCCATCGAAACTAATACTTCTTTAGGCAAGAATGATGAATCCTAAAAAGTGATACACATCTCATAGTATATGTAAAAGTTTGCCTGCAAATACATATGTGGAATTGGGGGCTCCCAGACTCCAAACCCTCCACTGTCAGGATTCTGGATAGATAGGATAGAAGGTAATTAGTGATCATCCACTATCTAATATCTAAATCATATATGAAAAGTCGAGG